GAACGCTTTTGAAAGAAGACTAGCCGATTGTTCTATTATTAAGACTATTTACTGCTTTCCATAATCAGTGGCAGAGACCCTGAACAAGGGAACTGCCGAACTGGGGTTGTGTTGTCCTCTCTAAGAAGACTGCCCTTTGAGCCTCTCTGATCAGCACCACTCAAATTTTTGATGTGAAAACAGCCTCAGGCAGGCGTCGGTCAGAACTGGGGGCATTGTCCTTTTCGGACGAGTGTGCCGCCCTAATGCAAAATCAAGTTGTGATAAAGACACGAATCAGGTTTCTCGCCTAGAACCAAATCCTAGGACACGATCCTAAGCCGATCGTCATCCCCCTGCTGTCAAATATTGTCGGCCTGGAGTTCAGAAGGAATTGCTTCTCTGCCTGGTTCGAGCACTGAGTTGCTACAAAATGGTACTAGGTGTCATGATATGTAATCAACAAACCATGTTAGTTATTACCATATGGCAATAAACCATGTACACACAGGAAGTCCTCAGTATGCAAACTATGTAACCTTGTTTACTTATACTTGTTTGGAGTTGAATAAATAAATTCTTAGTAGTAGGACCTAGAGACAGTGACTCACAACAAAATACTGTGAACTTTTGAAAAGAACAAAGTCAATTGAGAAGTAAGTATTGATAGTAGTTATTGTTAATCATGACACAATGGGTAAAAACAATAGAGTTGTATTTAGATGTTGGTATGCCAGACAAAACTGATGCTGAGAAAAGCAAAGTTATTCAGTACGTCATAGGCCCTGAAGGTAGGAAATTCTTTCAAACTTTTGAGTTCACTGAAGAAGATGATGACAAAAGCACTGCTCCAAAAGACATCATGGACAAGTTTGAAAAACATTTCGCCTTAAGGAAAAGCCTTGTAGTTTCTCGTCACAAGTTCAACACTAGAAATCAAGGAAGAAATCAATCCATTGATGATTTTGTCACAGCACTAAAAATATTAGCAAAGCATTGTGCATTTGGCACAATGCATGATAACCTGAATCGTGACAGAATATTATGTGGTATTTACTGTGAGCAAGTTAAAGACAAACTACTGCAGAAACAAGATCCAAACCTAGAGAAAACACTAACGTACGCAGAGCTCATGAAGAAGCAAGGCAAGGCAAACAGGCATGACCTGGCTGAAGTAACCAGTGTACATAGTGCTATTCAAAGAAAGCTTACACGCAACAAAAACAAATCAAGAAACCTAACTACAGTGGCACAAGCCAAAAACAAAGGCATGATTATCCTAAAAAAGAGAGGTGTGGCAAATGTCGGACTGTACATGCAAGGAAACAATGTTCAGCATATGGCAGGAGATGTCAGAAATGCCACAAAGTGAATCACTACCAAAAGTATGTAGATCCAAAATTAGTGTCCATGGATTAAATGAAGAAGAATCAGATACTAAATCCAGCACATCCTACGTTGGAGCCATCAAAAAGAAATGCAACATTGAGGTCAAAGTTGCTATGTAACAACTGACATTCATGGTACAGATGTGATATTCAAAATAAATACAGGATCTCAAGCAAACATCATACCAGAGAAGATATTCAAGAAAATCAAGGACTCAAGCATTCAAATTCAGAAGTTATAATGATGAACAAATTAAAAGTGCATGGGAAATGCAAGTTAAACTGCATGGAAATCGATCTGGATTTGTACGTCACAGAGACTTGACCAACCACCTTTACTGGGATTTAAAGCATCACAAGATGTGGGTTTAATCAAGATAGTCATGAATATTCAAAAAGAAGAGAAGAAAACCATGATAATGGAGAAATTTCCACAA